TTAGCAAATGGCTGCAATATAACAGAGTGAAAAATTTAAGGGGGTCTGAATACTTTCCGTACCCACTGTAAATCTAAGTAAATGCAAAAGTAAAAAGCATTGAATAATGTGTTGCTTATTTATTGTGTTTAAACATGTCTGTGAGTCTGTGAGTATCACTATAAATAGGTATAAATGAAAAAAAGAAGGCTTTAAAAAGATCAGTATCGGCAGATACTGCTTTCTGTGATCGGCGATCGGCCTCAAAAATCCTGATCGGAGCACCCCTAATTATTACCTGTAATCCAGAGCCTCAAGCAAACGGTCCGGAGTGATGTTCGGTTCACAAACAATAGTTTGTGAACTAGCTGAACCAGCTCATCAAATCGGACTGAAGTGTCTGAAACAGTTCATGTCTCGAGCAGCACAGATCTACAAGTTACTCAATCAAAACTCACTTTCAGACGCATGACAGTCACTCCAACTGGAAATGAGTCAAAATAGCAGCATATCTGATTCAGCGCTCCAGTTCCTCCAACAGTCACTGAACTGAGGAAACGGTTCGACTCGGACCGAAGACCAATGAGCCGCTGATCTGCACACGCGTGAACCCAGCACTCGAATGAAGGGCCAAATTAAAGTTTTTATGGTTTCTCATTATGTAAAAAGATGAACTGAAGAAGACAAGTTTATTCACTTTATATGCTTTAGACATGTAAAATATCCACGATTCACATCATTATTGGATGCTTTAATAATATAATTGTGGAGGTACGGTTTCTAAGTCACAATTTCTTGCTACTGGGGTTCCTCAGGGCTCAGTGCTAGGACCACTGCTCTTCTCCATCTACATGTCATCAGTAGGATCTGTCATTCAAAAGCATGGCTTTTCCTAGCACTGCTATGCTGATGACACTCAACTCTACTTCTCAATCCATCCAGATGATCCAACGGTAGCTGGTCGCATTGCAGCCTGTCTGACAGATATTTCTGGCTGGATGAAGGACCATAACCTTCAACTCAACCTTGCTAAGACAGAACTGCTCGTGGTCTCAGCCAACCCAGCACTTCATCACAACTTCTCTATACAGTTAGGCTCATCAACCATAACTCCTTCCAGGACAGCCAGGAACCTTGGCGTTGTGATTGATGATCGGTTAAACTTCACAGACCATAATGCTACAACAACCCGGTCCTGCAGATTTGCCTTATACAACATTAGGAAGATTAGACCCTTCCTAACAGAGCAGACCGCACAACTCCTTGTCCAAGCTCTTGTTCTCTCCAGACTGGACTATTGTAATGCTCTCTTGGCAGGCCTTCCGGCATGTACTATCAAGCCTCTGCAACTGATCCAGAATGCAGCAGTGAGAGTGGTCTTCAACGAGCCGAAGAAAACCCACGTCACACCTCTCTTCATCAGTTTGCACTGGCTGCCAATAGCTGCTCGCATCAAATTCAAGGTACTGTTACAAGACAACCACTGGCTCTCCACCAGTATACCTAAACTCACTAGTTCAGACTTATGCGCCCTCCAGAAGCTTGTGTTCTGCAAGTGAACGACGCCTCATGGTTCCGTCCCAAAGAATCACTCTCTCTGACATTTTCCTGGACTGTTCCCAGCTGGTGGAACGACCTGCCTATCTCAATTCGAGCAGCTGAGTCTTTAGCCATTTTCAAAAAAAAGTCTAAAGAGACATCTTTTTCGCCAGCACCTGACCAATTAATACTAGCACTTACCTATTCTATTCTATTCGTTTTTGTTTTTTTTCCAAATTATACACATATATATATATATATATATATATATATATATATACACATACAGGTAAACGAACTGGTGAATTGAACCTGTTCATTCAATTGAACTGTCCGAAAGAATCAGTTCATAGAAAAGAATCAGATTTCCGCGTTTGCCTGAGGCTCTGGATTACAGTAATAATGTTGTAAATAATGTTCAGTTTCTTGCACAGACCGATTGTTTTGTTTCATAAGACCTCAATATATCATCAGGAGCCACAGGGATTAATTTTGTCACCTGTATGTGTGTTTTTGACTCTCAAAGTGCCGGTAGCCATTGACCTGCATTTTATGAATCACCGAAGTCCACGGTTTCAGCTAAAAATCTTCTTTACTGTTCTACTGAAGAAAAAAGTCAGCTACCCCTATTGAAAAAAACAGCATATGCTGGTTAGGTATGTTTTGAAGCATGGTATAACCAGCTTAAACCAGCTACCATGCTTTAAAACATACCTAACCAGCATATGTTGTTTTTTTTCAACAGGGACATCTTGGATGGTGTGAGTTTGAGTAAATTAACAGCAAATGTTGATTTTTGGGTGAAATATCCCTTTAAGTTGGAGTACTAAACCTACTAAAACAGACATAAAAATAGATGTAAAAATAAAAACTGCTCGGGTTCTGCTCGTTTATTGGAGTTTGCTGGTTCTGCGTGACTCACCGACGTGATCTTTGCCCATGGCGGCCACCGTGAGGAAGAGCATCTCTCTGTACAGACTCCTGCAGATCCACACAAACACACGTCAGAGTCGCGTTCAGACTCACCTGAGCATCACCTGAGCTCTCACCACTCCTCACCTCTGTATCCGTGGAGTGCCGGGCTGCTTAGCAACCGTATCCAGGAAGAGCATGATGGCCTTGTGTACTTCGTTCAGACCGATCCAGCGTAGCACTTCCTCCAGGAAGCTGAGGTTGAAGGGATGGTTGTGATGCCGCCAGCTGTAGCTGCGCATGGGGACGCCACCTACAGGACAGGAGGGGAATCACATTAAATAACGGGAATCTACAGATTATTAATATTGTAATACTGTAGGAGAGTACATATACTCGCCAGTGCTGATTTTTACTTGCATTTGCGCTTGATGAGTGTTACTCTCATAATGCATTGGTGTCTGTTTTGACCCAGAAGAGATACATAAAAAATTCTAAAAAATGCAGTTATTAGTGAGGGAGCGATGCTTTGCGAATGCTTTAAGACCCTCAAAATACACATAATTTTAATTTTAATTTTTTATTTATTTTTTACAATTTTTTTAAAGATATATAACTATTTAAATAAATGCGACATGTTTCATGTAAAATATATTTAGTCTTTTGTTGATGAACATGAATATGTATGTCTACTGATGAACCATTGCAGCAAGAAAAACTGATCACTTTTTTTTTTCTGAAAGTGAATGCTTATGCAAGTAAAATTAATTTATTTTGTTTGAAAACATTTCAGAGTGTTGTTTTGATAGAAATTATGTCGTTTTCATACATTTGGACTGTATTTGAGCAATCAAGAGTTATAAATTCATTCCAATGGGCTAAATACTGGTAATTCTCAGATTATATGTTTTTTTAAATTTTATACAATGATATATTCAAATAAAATTTCTCAACAATATTACTATATGTATATAGTAATGTATACCCCCAGTATTGGGGGTAATGCATTACAAGTACCGCAAGTTACATAATCAGATTACTTTTTCAAGTAATTAGTAAAGTAACTTTTAAATTTACAACAAAACATCTGGTTGACTTTTTCAGGTAAGAAATGCCAGATCCTTCCCATGTATTGACTGACAGCTCTCCTGTCTTCATGCTGAGAGAAATCAGGAGTGAGTGCAGAGACAGAGGCTCTTCCTTCAGCTTCAGGGCCTTTACAGTCGCCAAAAATACAACTTTTGGGTTTATGTTATTAAAAAACAAATAAACAAGCCCAGCCCAGATGACAAAAAATATTGCAGAAGTCATGTAATGCATTATTTTCCATAAAAAGTAACTAAGTAACGCAGCTAGTTACTTTTGTATGGAATAACGCAATATTGAAATACATTACTTTTAAAAGTAACTTTCCTCAACACTGGTTATATAGTATTTATTTTGCATCATGGCAACATTCAAAACTTTGACATGTTTTCACATTCACTCATTAACGAGAAGTTGCTGATCAGTGTGGTTTTAGTTGAAAAATATTAAGTTTTGTGAAAACAGTAAAGAGATTTTGAATGTATTATGAGTGTTGATGTTAGGCTTTGTGTGTGTGTTTGTGTGTGTCTTACTGTGAATCCTCCAGAGCATGTAGAGCGCCGGCCACTGCTCTGTATCTGGGGTCAGTGTGTCCCACAGCAGCCTCACGTGCACCGCCGTGCCCTCTGACCCCTGACACACAAACACACCGTCAGCTGAGCTCCTCTGTGAGTGAGAGTGAGTGTGTATGGTTAGGGTTAGTGATGTATGTCGATATGTGTGTGCGTGCGTGCGTGCGTGCGTGCGTGTGTGTGTGTGTGTGTGTATGTGAGTGTATATGGTTAGGGTTGGGATGTTTGTCGATATATGTGTGTGTGTGTGTGTGTGTGTGTGAGAGTGAGTGAGACCTGTGTGAGGCGTGTTGTCAGTGGTGACGTCCGCAGCAGCTGCAGCAGGTTACTGGGCAGGCCGAGGCGAGTGAAGTACCACACCAGATTCCAGAAGAGGATGGAGTGACTGTCCAGCAGCTGGACCTGAGAGAGAACAGCCTCACCCTCGTTCTCCAGCAGACTCTCCATCTCCTTGCGCAGCACCAGCGGGCTCAGGTACGCCACCGTCACCTGCGGGGCCCCGCCCACCGATGGCACGCTGCTCTCTGATTGGCTGCTGGTCTCTGAGCTGGAGTCCGTCTCTCTGACGCCGTTGCACAGGTGCTGCAGTGTGTCGTCCGGAGCGACGGGAGGACGCATGATATTCTGCATCTCATCCTCCGCACTCAGGTTACTGCGCTCCACGCTGCACACACACACACACACACACACACACACAGAGAGAGAGACAGACACACACACACACACAGACAGACACGCACACAGAGACAGACAGACACACACACACACACACAGAGAAAATCATTCAAGTGTAAGATTTGAAATAATACATGCTGTATTTATACAGTACATAAGTATTTTCAAATGTTCAGATAAAAATCTTTTTTTTCTTCTAATTTTCAGTATAATCAGTATTTGATTATCGTACAAATAGTGCAGAATCTTACATTTTTTCACATTTTTCATAAATTGTTTTTTTAATATCCTAACAACGTTTATTTTAAAGTTGAAATTAGACTTTGAATAACAGATGTAGAGTGTGACCCCACTGAACACCACTGTATGTGTGTGTGAATGTAGTTCTCACATCAACGTCATTGTGATTCGTAGCGACTTTTGGTTCAGAATATTGACCACATAAATACCACATTCTTTTTTTCACAAATAGAAAACTATTTATAAACTTACTATAGAGGAAGATTTTATATTTACATTCATATTTATTCGAGGTCTTGGCTATAGTGGAAAACAGAAAATCTGGGGAAAAAAAGCTATTCAATTTACTACTGAATTTGGGGAAAATGTTTATTATATATTAATAATAAATAAAAATCATATATATTAAAATATTAAGATCTCTTTAAAACAGAAACAAAATCTTTTTTTTTAATTTCTCAGCCTTTTTTGTTAGACAAGATAAAACATTTCCCTGAATTCCCCTTAAATTCTGAGTTATTTCAGTAATTTAACTCTGATGTTGATCTCATCAAAAGATCTCTGATGTTGCTATTCTTCTGAACTTTGAACAACAGTTGTTTGTTTCAGACACAGAAATATCAAATTAACTGAAAATGTGCTTTTTTATTTTTTTGGTTCTTAAGGCAAAGTAGAATTTTCATAATCTTAAAATTATTTAATTTGGAAGAAATTATTTGAAGTATTATAATCTACTCTTTAAAAAAATATTAAATTATCCTAAAGGAGAGAAAAGTTCCCCTAATCAAAGACTCAAGCGCGTGTTATTTTAGTATCAATTAGATAGTTTTCATTAATATTTTGAATCAGATTTTTATATATTTTCTATTTTCATTTTAAAGTTTTAGTTATTTTGTTGTGTTTTATATTATTACTTATAATACATTTTTTATTAATTTTATTTCAGTTCCAGTTTTAGTTATTTTAGTCAAAACAAGTTATAATAAATTAAAATAAAGCTGAAATAAAATGAGTTTAAGTTTATGTTTTGTATTATTTCAGTGAATGTTTATTTTATTTCAAATAACACAAACGTTTGTTTTTTTGGTGTTAGTTTTAGTAGTTCGGTGTCACCTGCAGACGGGCCCCGGGTCACAGATCTCTGCGTTCAGCAGCGGGACGAACGGCGAGGAGCAGAAAGGACAGGT